CAGTTCTGGCCGGAGCCGGCTGAACGGAGGGAGTGGGCAGGATGGTAGGGGGGTAGGAGGTCACAGAGGTAGGAGGGAGCGAGGCCTTGGAGGGCTTTGAAGGTGAGGACCAGGATCTTGACCTGGATCCTCTGTGCGATGGGGAGCCAGTGGAGTCGGGCGAGGATGGAGGATGGTGTTGGGGTGCGGAGCCCGGCGCGGGAGAGGACACGGGCTGCAGAGTTCTGGATGATCTACAGGCCTGTGGAGGGAGGAGTTGGGGAGGCCGACAAGCAGGGAGTTGGCATAGTCGAGCCTGGATGTAATGAAGACGTGTGTGAGGGTATCGGGGGCTGCGGCGTGAGACAGTGTCAGAGCCGTGCAAAGTTGCGGAGGTGGGGGAAGGCAGAGCGGGTCATGGCACAGATGTGGGGAAGAAAGGATATTTGAGGGTCAAACAAGACGCCAAGGTTCTGGACTGGCTTAGCAAGGTGGAGATGGCAACCATAGAAGGTGATGCTGTCAGTGCCTGAGGTGAGGAGGCACTGACGAGAGCCCATCTCCTGATCTTGAGCCTCGGTCTTGTTGATGTTCAATTGAAGAAAGTCAACTCTCATCCAGGACTTGATGTCTGACAGACATTGTGTCAGGACAGCAGTGGGTCCTGGAGTCAGGGGGGAAGGTGTAGATAGTCAAGTGTCATCCGCAAATGTGTGGAGGAGGGGACCAAGGACGGAGCGCTGAGGAACGTCGCACGAGACGGTGCGGGGACTGGAGGAGAAGCCGTTTGCGGAGATGGAAGTGCAGGCGGTGTGAGAGGTACGATCTGAACCAGTCAAGGACAGAGCCGCGGAGGTTGAGGTGAGCGGAGGGGCGGTGGATGAGGACGGAGCGGTCGACGGTGTCGAAGGCAGCAGAGAGGTCAAGGAGGAAGAGGAGGCAATCCTCGGTTACTGAGGGAAGTAAGGGTGGAAATAAAGGAGGCTGTGGCAACAATCTTTCAAGCCTCCTTGGACACTGGGATGGTGCCCGAGGACTGGAGGGTTGCAAATGTTATTCCCCTGTACAAAAGTGCCACACGAGAGGCTTCTCAGCCAAATAGCAGCCCCCGGTATTAGAGGGGCAGTGGCAGCGGATACAGAACGGTCTGGGAGACAGAGAGCAGAGAGTGGGGGTGAACGGTTGGTTTTCTGACTGGAGGGAAGTGGGCGGTGGTGACCCCCAGGGATCGGTATTGGGACCACTGCTGTTTGTGATCCATATCAATGACCTGCACTTGGGTATAGGGAGGACAAGTTACTGGTTTGCAGGTGATACTGAGCTGGAAATGGAGTGAACAGTGAGGAGGACAGTAACAGACTGCAAACGGACGTAGACAGACTGGTAACGCGGGCAGACAGGTGGCAGACGGAGTTTAAGGCGGAGAAATGTGAAGCGATGAATTTTGGGAGGAAGAATGAGGAGAGGCCATATGAGCTGATGGTACAATCTTAAAGGGGGTGAAGGGACAGAGAGACCCGGGGGGTCATATAGTAAATCTCTGAAGGTGGCCGGAGAGGGCGATAAAGCTGTTAAAAAAGCAGTTGGGATACGAGGCTTTATAAATAGGGGCAAAGAATACACAAGTCAGGAAGTTATGATGAACCTTTATATAAAACACTGGTGAGGCCTCAGCGAGAGACTGGGTTCAGTTCTGGGCACCGCACTTTAGGAAGGAGGTCAAGGCATTGGAGGGGGTGCGGAGGGGATTGCCCAGGAATGGGGGGCTTCAGTTATCAGGAGGGGCCGGAGAAGCGAGGATTATTCTCCTCGGGAGCAGAGAAGGTTAAGAGGAGACTCGATAGAGGTTTTCAAGTTAATGAGGGGGTTCGATCGGGGGAACGAGGAGAGGCTATTCCCACTGGCGGGCGGGTGGGGCGGTAACCCGAGGACCCCGAGTTAAAATAGTCGTTAAAAGAAACAGAGTGGGGGGTGAGGGGAAATGTTCTCACACAGCGAGTCGTTGGGATCTGGAATGCATTGCCTGAAAGGCCGGTGGAAGCCGATTCGATGACAACTTTTAAGAGAGATGTCGATAATTATTCGGGGAGGACAAGTTGGCAGAGCTATGGGGAGAGAGCGGGGGGAGTGGGGTTGAATTGGAAGCTCTGGCACACACACGATGGGCCGAATGGCCTCCTTCTGTGCTGTATAATTCTACGATTCTATGAAAACAACAAGGGGCAAATCGACGAGAGGGGCAAAACAACAAAAGAGTTTCACAGGATACACTGTAAAGCGAATTGACTGTATATTTTGTGGGCACAGCAGTGTCCCACAAACAGTCGTGGATTGAGCGATCAATTTTTTTAAAAAAAAAGAACTATTATCCCCGGAAAAGCGATCCCCCAATCGACTCACAACCCGGTTTCTGCTTAAATCTTCTCCGCACCCTCTCCAAGGATCTCGATATCCTTCCTGAAGGATCTCGATATCCTTCCTGAACACAAATCCAGGCTGCACAGTGGATTAAAAAAAAAAGTTACAGGAAGCGAAACGCAGAGCAAGGAACACAATCAGCAAAGGCCAACACGAAAGCCTTTTATTGCGCCTCTCGAACACAAAGCGGCTTTTGTATACGACGACAGCGAAGTAAATTTCACTCGAAAAACCCGAACGAGGCCAACAGATCAATGCTCCCCACTGTGTAAAGAGTTTCGAACGCCGCGTGAATAATATTGCTTAATAATTTCACTTCTGGATCCTTCTCCTTTCCAACGCGAGAGTTTTCCGCTCCCCCCCACCCCCCAAACCATCTGACTGAAACACACGCTGCGTTAAATCTTGGCCAGGATCCCATTATCAAGGCGCCTTCTCTTGACCCAGGCATACATCCCGCTTCTGTCTGGGCGGAAGGCAACGATAACCTAGCGACGCTAGTAAAAATATAGGGGGAGAAGAGGGGGGGCTTCCCCCCCAAATCAGGCCATGCTGCCCCTTCAATAAAACTCTGCGTGAGTTGGGGAGCTGGAGGACAGAGATAGGGTGGGGACATGGGTGTGGATTGGAATACGTGGGATTTGGGGTGCAGGCTGAGATAATAATAATCCTTGCATTGATACAGCGCCTTCTCGTGTCTTCAAAGCGTCTCAAAGCGACTCGCAGGCTACACTGTAACGTGTAGTGACTGGGTATTAATTTGTGGACGGAACATGGCAGTCCGTGCGGAGTGAGGAAACTTACCCAGCGTTTTGCCCTGTCCCACCTGGGAATCGAACCCAGGTCCTCTCGCTTGCGAGGCGAGTGCTCTAACCACTGAAGCTACAGGACTCCTACAACCTGATCCGATCACTAAGTACCTTTCTGACGTCTGTCCTGAGATTGCCCTTTGCAACCTCGAACAAGTACTCTCTTGCGCCCCCTCGAGTTCACGGTCAATCCCATTTAAAACCTTACATACCTCATCAGCTTCCCTCCAAGATGCCTCCTCTCAAGACTGAAGAGTCCCAGCTTGTCTAATTGCTGCTCATACACCTCATTCCTCCGAGGACCTTTGAGGACCATCCTCATTGCTCTCTGTTCCACGGCCCCAAGGGTCACAGTGCTTCCTTCTGTCGTTGGGGGGGGGGGGGGGGGAGATGGCGAAATGTTCCTTGCAGAGAGGGAAGGAGCATGGGTGAGGCTAGTGGAGATGGAGGAACATTCTGCCGTTCGTGGAGTCCTGTGTCCTGTAGCTCAGTGGTTAGAGCACTTGCCTCGCGACCGCGAGACTTGGGAATCGAGAGTTTGTGGGACACCGGCTGCCGCGTTTCACCCACAAAATATACAGTCACTGCATTTCACAGCGTATTCTGTGAAGCACTTTGCAACATCTCAAAAGACACGCTATCAAATGCAAGGATTATTATTTATTATTCTTGTTGGGGCCGCCTCCACGCATGGCTTTGCCCGCAGGAGAAATAGTGGGTGGGATGACTCCGAGATCCACCAGAGGTTAAGGGTTCCAGGGAGCAGGTTTGAAGCACCAATTTGTCCTTTGTTCTGTCTTCTGATAGCCCGAAACTTACCCGCCTTACCGTTACCTTCCCAGTATCGAACAGGATAAATAACAACATGGTCAGAAACATCAAGTCCTGATGCATTTGTGACAGAATGAAAAGCAAATTCGTTTTTAATCGTACATTTGTGTCAAAGATTCAAACCGATAGCTCGTGGGTTATTCGCTGGGGTAAGGACTTTTAAGAGAAAGAATGAATTGCTTTCATTCGGTCAACTGGGTGTCTGACTCTGACACACATGCGGAAACCCGTCACCGTGATCAGCCGAGTGTCTGACACGCACGTGCGGAAACCTGTCAACGTGATCAGCCGCGTGTCTGACACACACACACACACACACACACGCGGAAACCCGTCACTGTGACCGGCCGGGTGTCTGACACCCATGGAAACCCGTCACCGTGACCGGCCGGGTGTCTGTCACACAAGGAAACCCGTCACCGTGATCAGTCGGGAGTCTGACAAACACAGAAACCCGTCACCATGACCAGCCGGGCGTCTGACACCCACGGAAACCCGTCACCGTGATCAGTCGGGCGTCTGACACACACGGAAACCCATCACCGTGATCGGCCGGGTGTCTGACACACACAGAAGCCCGTCACAGTGACCAGCCGGGCGTCTGACACACACGGAAACCCGTCACCGTGATCGGCCGGGTGTCTTGACAAACACAGAAGCCCGTCACAGTGACCAGCCGGGCGTCTGACACACACGGAAACCCGTCACCGTGATCGGCCGGGGGAGAGGGGGAGCCCAGAGTTGGGCAGTGCTGGGGTTTCAAACCGCTTAGCTTGTCTATCGAACGAAGCAATGTGGATGAACCGTAGCAGAAGTGGAGCCTGGGGAACCTGAGAAGAGTTGCTGGGTTGGGAGATGTCATCTGCCCTTCCATCGATGCCCAAGTAACATTTACAAAACTGTAACAGAAAAACAAACTGGCTTCATTCAAACCCCCCCCACCCGCCCCCCCCGATCCCCTCCCACCCTCCCCTTCTCTGGGGGGAATGCTATTGTAAGTTGGGTAACAGACACATTAAGAAATTAGGTCTTTTCTCAAACACGCACGCACACACACCCACATCCCACTTCTCAGCGCACGCACACGGGCAAAACAGTGGCCCCACTCAAAGGGTGCGATACCCTGGCCATTCAGGGCTTGAGTTTGAGCCAGGGCTGGCAGATGGTGAGGATGGAGAGTGCGGAGGATGTCAGTCCACAGACACCCACCATCCCAGGGTTGGTTTTGAACAGCCCCAGCTTGTCCAGCGGGATGAAGATGTCACATACGTTCTTGAGGATGTCGAGGAGGAGAGGGGGGTTTGCTCTCAGCGCACAGTGCAGGAGGGAAAGCTGGACTCTGGCCTTCTCCCTTAAAAGCGTTATTCCCGATCCCGATCTGGGCGTGTAGCCATTTTCTGCCGGGGTGCTGGCTTTGTGTCTGCTCTGCGCTTCCCGTTGCATGAGGAGGCTGAGGTCATAGGCGTCTCGAGTCAAGCTCATGATCAGGGCGAAGAGGTAGTACCTGGCGAAGAGGAGGAGAACGGATAATAATGAATAATAATCCTTGCATTTCACACAGCGCCTCATCACGTCTTCGAGACGTCTCAAAGCGCTTCACAGGATACACTGTAAAGTGAACTGACTGTGTGTTTTGTGGGCAAAACACGGCAGCCGATTGCGCCCAGTGACGTCCCCACACATGCAGTCGTGCATTGAGTGACCAAACTATTATTATTTTTACGTTATTTTTTTGAAAGGATTATTCCCGTACCCACGGAAAATCGACTAACGAGTGGGTTCCTACTTACTGCTAGGTAAACAGAGGTGTGTGCGTGTGCGCGTGTGTGTGGAGTAAGGCAACTTGCCTAAGGTTTCGCCCTGTCCTGTCCCGCCCGGAAATCGAACCCAAGTCCTCTTGCTTAAGGGCTCTAAACCCTGAGCGACAGGGGACTGTGGCTTGCGAGGCGAGGGGTCTAACCCCTGAGCTACAGGGGCTGTGGGGTGCGAGGCGAGGGGTCTAACCCCTGAGCTACAGGGGCTGTGGGGTGCGAGGCGAGGGGTCTAACCCCTGAGCTACAGGGGCTGTGGGGTGCGAGGCGAGGGGTCTAACCCCTGAACTACAGGGACTGTGGCTTGCGAGGCGAAGGGCCTAACCCCTGAGTTATGGTACTCCATAAATCCTAACATGTAGACTCCGGTCATTCTGCTATCCTCCATCTATTCTTTAACCTGGCTCAGTCGCTCACTCGCTCGCGAGTCAGAAGGTTGTGGATTCGAGCCACACACACACACACGTGCAAGTCGGGCACTCTGAGCTCACAGTCTAGGCTGACACTCCAGTGCAGCACTCGAGGGAGAACAAGAGAGAAAGACAGAGAGAGGGAGGGAGGGAGGGAGAGAGACAAAGCGAGAGACAGAGACACAGAGGGAGACTCCATTGTAGCGTTTGGAGAGGTCCCTCTGGAAGCGAAAGGCTATGTGTGTGTGTGTGTGTGATACAGGGCTTGACCTACCTAAAGGATCGCTGGCTCCATTTCTCCTGGTCCATTTTGGACGCCAAGCCCACCTTCCCGGCCCACAAGATGTTGTCACAGGCAAAGTACATGGCTCGGTTCAAGTGGCTGACGGTGATACAGAAGCGAAGCACGAGGTCGGACAAGTGGATTGATCTCTTTGCCGCCTCAAGAGCCTCCAGTGAATTTCCCAGACGGAACACTGCGGAGATAATAATAATAATAATAATAATCCTGGCATTGGATACAGCGCCTTATCACGTCCTCGAGACGTCTCAAAGCGCTTCACAGGATACAATGGAAAGTGAATCGACTGCGTGTTTCGAGGGCGAAACGCGGCAGCAGATCGCCCCCGGCGACGTCCCCACAAACAGCCGTGGGTCGAAGTGACCAATTTATTATTATTATTTTTTAAGAAAGGGATTATTACCCCCGGAAAAGCCATCCGTCAATTGAATAATAAGTGGGTTGCTACTTTCTGCTGGTAAACAGAGGTGTTAGTGTGTGCGTGTCTGTCTGTGTGCGTGGAGTAAGGAAACTTGCCCAACATTTCGCCGCTGAGCGAAGGGACTGGGCGGGTCAGTAGAGTTGAAGGAAGTTGCAGGGGGGCGCGGGTGGGTGGCGAGACCATGGAGGGATTTGAAGGTAATAATAAAACCTGGTGCGGGCGAGGACACGAGTTGGCACAGTCGAGCACAGTCCCTTATCAACCTGCCCACTCCCTCCGCTTTTCGGGCTCCCGTCTGCTCATACCCTCTGGAACTCCATCCCACATTCCTTTCGCCTCGCCTCCTTCAAGGCACATCTCAAAACCCTCCTCTTTCGACCCTCCTCGTTCGATCACCCTCCTTCCCCCTACCCTCAATGCCCTCCACAACCTCCTGATCCCAACCCCCAACTCAGGTCCTTCTCCCTGACTGTCCAGCGCCTTGGGACGTCCTCCCGACCCGAAAGGCGCTGCGTAAATGCCATTTGGAATGGTATTGGAAGTGATCAGAGCATGGGTCAGGGTTTCAGTGGCTGGGGGGGGGGGGGGGGGAGAGGCGGTGGTGGAGACGGGCAATGTGACGGAGGTGAGGGTAATTCAATACTCACACTTTCTCCCCAAGCTCATATGCATCTCCAACTGCTTGACACGACCCACCAGCTCTGCACTGGCATTGCTCTTCTGCAGTGAGTAACTCAGCAAGGTGCATGCGTACTGGGCCGCTCTGCGAGGGAGAAGGGGAGCACGTCAGGTCAGCTGCCCTCACATCAACGTACAAGTGCCCGAACCCCACCCCCCCCCACCCACGCTCACCAGAGCATGAGTTTCTCCCAGTGTCCTGGCCAACAATTCTCCAGATTAATCACCGATTTCCTTGGAATCGGAGAATTATACAGCACAGAAGGAGGCCATTCGGCCCATCGTGTCTGTGTCGGCTCTTTGAAAGAGCTTTTCCAAATCAACCCCACTCCCCCACTCTCTCCCCATAGCCCTGATCAACCCCACTCCCCCCCCCGCTCTCTCCCCATAGCCCTGATCAACCCCACTCCCCCCCCGCTCTCTCCCCATAGCCCTTATCAACCCCACTCCCCCCCGCTCTCTCCCCATAGCCCTGATCAACCCCACTCCCCCCCTCTCTCCCCATAGCCCTGATCAACCCCACTCCCCCCCCCGCTCTCTCCCCATAGCCCTGATCAACCCCACTCCCCGCACTCTCCCCATAGCCCTGATCAACCCCACTCCCCCGCTCTCTCCCCATAGCCCTGATCAACCCCACTCCCCCGCTCTCTCCCCATAGCCCTGATCAACCCCACTCCCCCGCTCTCTCCCCATAGCTCTGCATACTTGTCCTCCCCAAATAATTATCTACGTCTCTCTCGAAAGCTGTTATTGAATCGGCTTCTACCAGCCTTTCAGGCAGTGCATTGCAGATCCCAACAACTCATTGTATGAAAACATTTCTCCTCGCCTCCCCTCTGTTTCTTTTAACAACTATTTTAAATCGGGGTCCTCGGGTTACCGACCCACCTGCCCGCCAGTGGGAACAGTTTCTCCTTGTTCACCCTATCGAAAGCCCTGATAATTTTGAACATCTCTATTAAATCTCGCCTTCCTGGCTGTTTGCAGAATCTTTCTCCGCCTCTTTATCTATCATTCTCTCTCTCTCACTCTATTGATATCCATCTGTCTCCCCCTCTTTCTCTCTCTCCCCCCTCCCCACCTCTGTACCGCCCCCCCCGTCGGTTTCTTATACATTTATATATTTATACATGCACATAAATTCATATATATATTCATACATATATTTATATATAGCGTTTCACCCACAAATTATAGTCACTATACTTTACAGTATATTCTATGATGCGCTTTGAGACGTCTCGAAGACATGATAAGATGCTATATCAAGTGTAAGGATTGTTATTATTATCATCGAAGAGATAGATCTCTCTCGATACATCCCTCAAAATGTTTTTAACTCCAAAATCTTAGGGGTTGGAGCCCTCGCCTCGCAAGCGCGAGGACCTGGGTTTGATTCCCGGCAGGACAAAATGTTGGGCAAGTTTCCTTACTCCACACACCCGCGCGCCTGTTCCCTCGCGGTCAGTTAGTCGATTGGCGGATCCCTTTCCGGGGATAATAATCCCTTCCAAATGATGATAATTCGGTCACTTCAACCCACGACCGTTTGTGTGGACGTCGCCGGCTGCCGCGCTTCGCCCCCCCCCCCGCCCCGAGACGCGCGCAGTCCCCACACTCGTGACGGCGTGTCCCGCGAAGCGCTTTGAGGCGCCTCGACGGCGTGATCCCGGGGATTTATCTCTCTCTCTGTGTGCAAACTACATTTACGCAGCGCTTTTCACGTCGGGCGGACGTCGCGAGGCATTTGGAGTTAAGCGCTTGCACCGGAGCTCCGTGTGTACACACAGAGAGAGAGAGAGAGAGAAAGGAGAAGGATAACAGACAGTTCTCTCTCTCTCTCAGCGCAGGACATGGCCGAAGTGTCAATCATTCTCCCCCCTCAACCTAAAGTGCTGGCAGCGGGCGGGCCGCGCCGTTGAGTGACGGGCCCCGTCAGCCAATCAGACCGCCCGCTGCCGGCAGCGTGGGCGGGCCCCGGCCCCGCCAGCAGGTTAGGTTGTCGCCGTCTCCCCGGGTTACGCGGAGCAATGGCGGAGCGGCGGCTCCCATGTACCGGAAAATGCGCTCCCTGCCCTGGCTCTGGGCCGTGAAGCGGACCCAGGAATCCATCAGGAGCCGCGGAGGGGCGCCTTCCCCTCCCCACACCCCCTCTGGGGTCCTCTTCCCGGGCTGGAAAGGCCGCCGCCTCTCAAAACATGGCCGTCCTTTCTTCCCGCCCGTCCCAGCTCCTTCCCGTGGCTGACTGCTGTCGCGGGGTTTGTGCGTCACCGAGCGTCAGATACGCCCCTGTCGCACGGCAATGACGTCAGCGCAGGGCAGATAGCCACTGATTTCACCCCCCAATGGCCCCCCCAATGCCCCAACAGAAGGATTTTTGGAGGGAGAAGGGAAATAATAATAATAATAATACTAATCACCCCGGCGTGCGACCCGGCGCCTTATCACGCCATCGCGACGTCCCAAAGCGCTCCGCGGGACACGCTGTCGAGTGTAGTGACTGTGCACTTGGTGGGCGAAACCAAGCGATGGACCGAATTATTATTATTATTATTATTGCCCACACCACCACCACCACCGGAAAGTGATCCGACAGTCGACTAACGAGCGGCGAACGCAGGCGTCCGTGTCCGTGGAGTAAGGAAACTCGGCCAACGTTTCGCCCTGTCCTGTCCCGCCCGGGAATCGAACCCGGGTCCTCTCGCTCGCGAGACGAGGAGGGGTCTAA